GTAAAAACGTCGTAACGAATGTTCCCGGCTTTTCTTACAACACAGTTCATTTAATATGAATAAAAAGGGCATAAAAGCTTTGTCTTTGGCGCCAGTTTTCAGACCGTGTAGTATTGAGGCATAAGAGAGTCAGCTGGAGGCTATATCTATTTCATAGATGTATATATATATATTTTTTTTTTTTGTTCTTCCCTACCTCGCCCTTTATGCTATACGGGATTTTCCCGGCCCGGGGGGTGAGGGCGGGGAATTTAAAATCCCCTCCGGCACCGGGACGCGAACTCGTACTTTTTATATCTTCTCAAATCTGTAATCCGGTTGCCAGGCAACTCGCGGTGCTGTGCACACGCTTTAGCCCATTCGGCCACCCATCTCCTAATTTATCTATTTCATAGATATAGTATTTTCCCTTGTATCCATCCATATCTTCAAATTTTAGACACTGTAATTTCCCAGGTTTTGTTTTGATTTTACTGCTTACCTTAAGTGCTTCGTGCTCAACGTTTCATACCCCATTAGCCCTAAACATCTGTCAGGACAATTATGTAATAGAAGAACATCAAAGGAAAAACAATTAGTAACATGATAATTCCCATCCATTAGATTTTTTCCTTCCTTTCCAGAAGAAGTCCTGGGAGCTAGATAATATCTTTATCTTCATCTCAGGACAGACTGCAATGAGTGCGTCTTTATTAAATTTTAAAGAAAATGGATGAGGCATAATGGAATGTTAATTTTGAAAAATGTTAATGGCTTGACTTTCAACTAAATGGTCACCTAAATATAAAACTCCGTTTCTTAAAACATTCAATTTATTCGGTTGTTTTACTTATTTTTAAGTATAGTTTAAAAAAGACTAATAATCTTTATTATGCAATATAAAATAAAGAAAAAAATATATTTAAATGATCTAATATTATTTTTAATTTGCGGGTGATTAAATAGCTGCCTAGCTTGACAGCTATTGGCACAATATTTCACTCCCGCTAGTAACTTCAATATCGATAGTTTATGTTGTTATCAGAATTAATTATTAATGGAATATAGAATTCTATATTTTTTATTTATGAAATTTACAACTCTCTAAAAACAAATATACATCTATTAAATGCGATGCATTATAATACAATGACATTAAAACACTTGTTGAAAAACAAATTATTGGCATAACACTAATAAAAATTTGCAATTAGAAGATCACGAGACCATCTTCTTTTCAGGCACCTGGGAGGGTTATCAGGGATCGAAGAACAAAACAGGTTTGAAACGAGAGAATTCAGATGGTTATGAAGTTTATTATGGAAGGATAGGAATCTGTATTGGGCCAAATCGGTAACATTAAGGTTTTTTATGGATTATTATAGTAAGGAGCATTGAGAATTTTACGAAGGATTTTGGATTGTAAGGATTGTATACGAGAGGAATTCGATGGAGCTCCAAAGCTCAACTCCGTAAGTCCAAATAAGCCTTATTACAGTCATATAAGTGTCTTTTGTAATTAATTGGAACCTTAGAGCGTTTATCAAGTTGGAGTATGCTAGCAGTTTCTTGTCTTTTCAGTCGTGTATAAGGATTTCAAGTGAGATGTTTGTCCAGGTGTAGGTAGTCCTTGGTATTGGATTTGTACAACAGAAATAAATGGGGTGTTATTAAAGGATAATGTAGGACAAAAAGTCAAACAAAAAAAGGTTTACGACGAAAATATTAAATTAAAGGAATATTACCAACCAAGAAAATATGTTCATAAAATTGGTTTATTTAAAAACTTTCTTTACTATATAAGGTACTACAGGAATAATTTTATTGTTTAACTTTTTTACAGAATTTTAACCTTCTGTAGACCGCAGAGGGGGAACCTGCAGCATCGAAGCTCCTTATGTGCTATAGACTATAACAGATTTCTTCAATAGATTCAATAAATGTTTTCAAAAGTTGAAACTGTAATAGACTAAATTTTAAAAACACTAATTGTATGTGATAAGTTTCTCGTGACCGCTTTGAGATTTAGGACGCTATCGCTAGAATAAAGGTTTTTCTAAAAGTTATTCCGAAAACGGTAAATTTAAAGACCTTAAAACGCATAGTCCAATACGTTGGTCTTGGACATATATACATGTCTATATTTTCTACAGTCTTGACTACTACTAATACTTCGTGAATATCTTCATTTCATCTTATTCTATAACTTTTTTTATTTACGAAAATTCTCGGAAATGGGCGTTTTCAACTTTAAAATCGGTAAACTCTGTCGATTTAATAAGATACTAAAAACTCATGAACAACTATAATATAAAATAATTTGATCACAAAATTGAGAAAAAAGATTCGGCCAAAAAATATTGGGCCGTTTGGCATAATCTTCTCCCCCAACACGTCAAAATAAATAGGTTATATAGACCAGGCGGTCCAATATTTTTGTATGCCACTTTTATTTTTTTTCATTTTGTAATCAAATTATCTTACAATTCAAGTGGACAGCAAATTGGTATTTACGAGGTTTTAGTACGTAATAAAATAGACAAATTTTGCCGCTCTCCAGATTGAAAACGGCACAATTCCGAAAATTTTCGTAATTATAAAAGTTGTAGGTTACATCACAGGTGGATCTACGCGGGGGGGGGAGGGGGGACTTTCGGGCTGAAGCCTCCCTCCTCCCCAAAATGGTGAAATATAACCATGTTTTATTGAAAAAAATATCAAAAACTATCTCTTAAAGTATCATTTTTCGTGTAATTACATTTAATAGGACGTCAAGAATCACTTAAACACCATGTCATATAGATAGTTAGTTTCCTTCTTTGTTTTCCAACTAATTAACGTTATATATATGAAAAAAAAAGTTTTCGGGCTGAAGCTCTCCCCCCCCTAAATTAAATCCTGGTTCCGCTAGTGGGTTACATTGAGGTGAAGCTATTCACGAAGTTTTAGATGGATGTTAATAATTTCATAAAAAGGAGTCTGAACCACGGCCTATTAGCTTTTACTTAATAAAGTGCTAACAACTCACAAACGTCTATAATATAAAATAATTTGATCACAAAACCGAGAAAAAAAGATGACTTACAAAAATATTGGGCCGTTTGGTATGATTTCCACCTCTAATCTCTCAAAATAAGGAAGTATTATAGGCCAAAAACCCTAATATTTTAGTAGGCAACCTTCTTTTTCGAACGATTCGTATGGAAAGCAAATAGGTATTTATGACTCTTTAGTACCTCATTTAATTGATTAATTTAACGAGAAAACTTCCGTTTCTGAGAATTTCCGTGCATAAAAAATTTGTAGTTTCACATAACATGAAGCCATTCACAAAGTTTCTAACACCACAGACTGTATTCCATACCTGATCGGGTCATGTTCCCGCTGGAAATTATTAAAACCCAACTTATCCAGTCTCGATCTGCAAACTTATTACCGTCGGGGTATTACTGCCGCATAACATATTATTAGGTCTTATTAAAAATAATAAGCCATGCCAAATTTTTCGAACATGTTCAATAAATTTTAAAATTCATACCATTCTTCTAGTTGTTATAAGTTTACAACGAAGGAAACAGCTGTGGGTGGCAAGAAGCCAGACCCCACAGTACTTGTCTCAACTTACAACGAACTAAGTTCTCTCCTTCATAGTTTCGTTCCACTGGACTACATTAATATTGCTTCGAATTTTAGTTATGTTTAGCAATAAAGTGTGAAATCTATATATATGGAGGCTAGGCATGTTCTGTAGTTTCATAGGTCAATTGCTCTACCTTGTAACTTAAATTACATTTCTTTCATTTATTCACACTCGACACACAGCTTACGCTTTCATTTCGACATCAAAATTAACATTGTCACCAATATTAAACGATTACCTTTAACAAATAAAGCAAATAATGAGGAAAATATACCGAAAAAACTCTGGTGCGGTGCACGCATCGCACAACTTTCATTTATTCTGCTTAGCAGAAATAAGTATTTTCACACAAAGGGGAAGTGAAAGTAAAATCTATAAACGTTTTATTGATTTATATTTCATTGTGGATATTTTTATTTGTTTAAGTACTCTTATATATACAAATTATAATATTGCTTCCTCACTACCGAAGGTAGGGAAGCATTGTGTTCGTGCGAGAGATTAAAAAAATTTTTTTGCTCAGAATCGAAAATTTTCACTCGCGTTTTACGTTTCACACATCAAGGATCAAATTTGGTTCGGTGTCTGTCTGTCTGTCTATCTGTAGCCAAATCGATGTGACGGGCATATCACCTAGTACCGTTCATCAAATCTTCATGAAATTTTCAGGGATTATGCTGATTGGTGCCTAGATGGTCCCATATCAACTTTATCAAATTCCATCCAGCACTTCCGCTTACGCACGCGCAAACGTATATTTTTAGATATGCAAATATTTCAGAAAGGGCTCGTTCGATTTGGCTCAAAGTTAGATAAAAGGTAGACTTTGGTGAAAAAATAATGTAGTGTCAATTTCATTGAATAGTGTCCAACACTTTCTCTTATATGTGCACTACTAGTCCGCCGTCCGCCATCCGCGCATTTTTTTATATTGCTGTAATTTCTGGATGCAAGGTATATATTTTATGGTTTAAGAATAAAACCTGGAAAAGTCGTTTTTAAGTATATTCTTGTAACGGAAAGCTCGTCTAAATATAATAAAATATATTAATTTTACAAAAAAAAAAAGACGTTTTCTTCCTGTATGTTTTATTTATTTTTCACTTTTGTGCAACCGATTTCGGTCTTTTATCAGACCTTCATCAGACCAACTGATGGTGGTTCTCACCAAATCAAACTAACGGCAATACATATTAATCTGTTCAATATTCATTGGAATATTTGTACATTATTTATCGAAATTCTATTCTAGTTTTCCTACAATCTCAACAAATATATATATATATATATATATATATATATATATATATATATATATATATATATATATATATATATATATATATTAACATTGTACTTATTTCTTATTTTAATGTTTTAG